TTATACTATCAGAGCTGTAGTATTTATACTGTCAGAGCTGTAGTATTATTGCTGTCAGAGCTGTAGTTAGTATTATTACAGTCATTCAGTAGTATTTATACTGTAAATGCTTAGTAATCCCCGGTCCCCGGCTGTTAATCAACAACTAGCCCGGTTAGCGGAGCACAGCGGCCGGTCTGACATCGTCTCTTGGACCGGGCTTTGGATCGAGGTCAATTGTGATTACAGTGTCGGTTCGGTTCTGTTTCCTGTCAGTCAGTGAGTCTTGAGGCAGGCTAACGACTCCCTAACACAAACTCTCCACAGCTAACATCTACCTACCAGCTAGCCGGTTCTCCGCCTGCTCCTGCCTTCTGAACGGGCCTCTTCTCCAGCTGTGCCCCGCTGCTGTGAGCTATGACCCGGCTGACACAGTTGAGATGAGCCGCTATCCGAACTGGAGGCTAACGGAGGCTAATAACAGACCTACAACAGTCGGCTCTGCTTGTCAACTGTGCCTCCGACCGGACGGAGCGCGGTTTGGGACAAAATTAGTTATGACGACAAAAAGCGCGAGACTGGTGATAATGATGAAGATTATGTTTCCTTAGATAGAGAACTTTACTAATTGGCTTTTATGTATGTGAATGTTTCTGTAAAGTGCCCTGAGAAAACTTTGTTGTGGTTTGGCGCTATATAAATAAACTGAATTGAATGTTTCCTTCTCTACATGGTATCAGCTGGGAACATCTGAAATACACTAAGGTTGTTCTGCCAGTTGTTTTATCTTAGAGAAATTAACTTCATAAATTAGATCTGAGTTAAATTTCCCTCCATCACACCAGACCTAACTTTAATCAGCTTTACAAAAAAATAGCTATTCTTCCAGGAGGTTATTTATATCACAACCTAGGAGAGAAATGGGTAAAATGTCAATTTGTACATGTGTGTGTGGTTGCTGTGATGAGACCGGATGATGAGGTCAGAAGATAAAAACAGGAGGTCTGGTCTGGGACAGGAGTTTGTTTCTATCTGCTGGCTCCTGTCTGTCACTACAGACTGATTATCATTAATTATCTCCACTGACCGGAAAGTTTACTGTGAACTCAGCTGACCTAAAAGTGCATAAATTCTGATCCAAACTTTATTTCTTTTTATTTTGCGTTTAAAAGGTTAAACTTCCCTCTAATATTTAATATGGGTCTGTTAGCTACTGAAGTTGCATCCTAAACTATTAGCCCCAAAGTGCTGAATAAACGTTTTTCTGTCAACTTTGGAGTAATATACTTTATTAGTTTAATACTGATGTGCTGTATAAGAGCAGATTAGGTGTAATCATGACTTCCTACTAACTGGTTAGCCTCAGACAGCTGGTCTGGACTAGCTACTACAAGCCATGCTACAAGCTTTTGGCTGTTCAGTTCAAGGAAACGGAAATGTTTGACAGAGAAGAGCGGACTCTGATTGGCTGAGAACAGCGGACTCTGATTGGCTAGAACAATTTGACGCTGTCTGATTGGTCAGCCGGACTTTACCTTGGGGAGATTCCATTTCTTCGGGGGTAATAAATGATCTACTTTTTTGTTAATCTAGGTGTTTAAAATTAATGTTTTCTTCAGTTTAGTCTGTTTTATCGAGAAATAAATTGTTTCTACCGTACTTAAAAACTAACTGTGACTTTACAAGGCAGGAAATGCTTGGTTAAACTGTAGTACCTCTCCCTGTTAGCTGACGGTTTGGATCGGTCCTGCTCTGTCCTCTGCCTCTTTCCTCGAATGTTGATCAAATCAGATCAATGATCAGTTGTCTGGACTGTTGGAAGCTCAGTCGGACAATTGTCTTCTGCAGCGCGACCTATCGGCTCCAGACAGGAACATGCTCCGTGTGAGAGGGGCCGTGACCCGGTCATGGAGGGGGTAAGTACCGCGGTTTCACTTCACATAAGGCGGACACGAGACTCCGGAGCACCGCGCTGACTTCAGCCAAGCTCGAGCTTCTGATCCGATCAAGACCCTGATCAATACTCTGATCAATACTCTGTCAGGGTCACTACACTGTGTTAATCAGTGAGCCGCCATGTCACGTGCTGCAGGTTAAGTTTAAACATCACGTGTAATGAAACATGATCAGCTGCTGGTTCAGGTTCTGACGACGAATGTACTCTGGGTTAGTAAAGTACATTTACACACAGTCCTTTGGGTAAACCTGTACAAATGTTCATCCTCCGACGTACCCCTGGTTCATCACCTGACGTACCGTGGTTCATCCTTTGACATGCCCTTGGTTCATCCCCACGTACCCATGGTTCATCCTCTGAAGTACCCATGGTCCATCCCATGACACACCTGTA